AGTTGCAACTCTTGCGTCATCAGAACAGGGTGTTCAACGCATCACTGTTTCCATTTAAACAACGTTTTGCACCGTTTTTCTCGGGGCTGAACGCAGCCCTGTTTTCCGGGTTTGGTCCGGTGATGTTCGACATATACCCTATACACGTAGAAAACGTATCCTTGTGGCGCGGCCAAGCGGCAACCTCCCCACTCTCTCTCGTGAAGCCAATAAGGAAGTGACTTAAACTGTAATTCGTCAACTGGCCGCTAGAGGCTGGCTGCAAAAGGGAGTCAGTCCCATAGACTCCCCATGTTAAAATGCTCAACTTTACAGCAGAAAAAAACATGCATGCAGCCTGGTTCAAAAAATGATTTTGTCTATATAGCTAATTTTGCCCTTCATGACAACTGTGAGGGGGGTGAATTTTTTTAATAACTCATCCGTTTAAACTACATTAAGCCTTAAAGTTCTGCATAATTAAGGGCGTGGCCACTTGAGTGACAGGTGGATTGCCGCTGCTGTCTCCACCATCAAGCTAGGTGGGCGTGGTTTCAACAACCAGCTCCCGCCTCTTTGCCCATCTTCGATTATCCGGGAGTGACGCGCGGTGACGCGCTGCCAAGATGGCGACGGCCGCCTCCGCTCACTTTTGAGCTTCAAAAACTCTCTTCGGAACCCTACGGGTGACGTCACGGACACTATGTTTTTATACAGTTATAAACTATGTTTTTATACGTCACGGTCCATGTTTTTATACAGTCTATGAAGGCTGACACAGAAGAGCGTAAGCTGCCTGCGTTCGGCTCATATTCACCAAAATGGTGATGCGGACAGACAGAGGAGACGAATTGTTCAATAAAGTAGTTATTTTTGTTTTCTTCGCATTCAAAAAGTATTCTCGTCGCTTCATAACGTTACGTTTGAACCACTGACTATTGACTATTGGACTATTCTGACCATGCTTTTCATACTTTTGTGGACCTTGACAGTGTAATTTACTTGGCATTCTATGGGACAGTCACAAGCCTCCCGGTTTTCATCCAAAATATCTTAAATTGTGTTCCGAAGGCGAACGAAGCTTCTATGGGTTTGGAACGACATGGGGGTAAGTGATAAATGACAAAATTTTAATTTTGGGGTGGAGTATCCCTTTAAGGTTGACGATCAGTATGTTACAACTGCTTTCTGCTTCCTTTTCACAGGCCATGTTGTTAATTGAAGATTGATGATTCAAATCCTATCTGTCAATTTCTGTATTTGTAGAATAATGTTCTCGAGCGAGCCGTGGACTGGATCTTCTCTCATCTGGATGATCTGGAGTCCATGGATGTGTCTGAGGGTGGGCGCTCAGAGGGAGGAAGTGAAGCCAGTCGGGAACCTCCTCCAGGGCCGCGTGTCCGCGATGGACCAGGAAGTGTGTGTTTCTGTGGTATTTATTGAATGGTGATTTTTGTAAACGGGATCATAAATATTTTGCTCTCTTCTCATCTTTCCCATTCTTTTGTCCTGAAGAGTATGAGCTTTTTGCGTTCATCAGTCACATGGGAACCAGCACAATGTGTGGTCATTATGTCTGCCACATAAAGAAGGACCAACAGTGAGTGAAGTTCTTTCTCCATCTCTCTCTATCATTGTTCATATGCAGCTCTTATACAGCAATATCACTTTTTCTCAATATTAATGTTTTCATTGTTACTCTTTGCTTCTTTCAGGTGGGTAATCTTTAACGATCAGAAAGTTTGTGCCTCTGAGAAACCACCAAAGGACCTTGGCTATCTGTACTTTTACCGAAGAGTGGTGGAATAGAGTAAACTAGAATGGCATTTTTCTCTCTCTCACTCACACACACACACACACACTCTCACACTCATCTGTGTCTGATCTACTGAAACAGTAGGCCCAGACTCCTGCTTCTAAACTGATGCACCATTTAATAAGTCAAAGCTCTTCTCCATCAAATATATTCACTACCGAGAACCGTAATAATGACAGAAGGGGAAAAAAATTAGATTTAGGATGTGCGGATTAGAGTGTTCTTACTCAAAACGCCCATGTTGTACAACGCCTTACCACAAACACACACACACTAGTCTCCTTCGTGCCTCCCCCTGATTGGATAGTGGCTATTGTGACATCATCGCTTTTAGAGCTAAACTCCACCTTCCTTCCCTTTATGTGTTCCAGAATGTTTCTGCAAATGTTTAATGGCAAGTAAATTAAATCAATAAATCACAAAAAACAGCTAAATATTAAATATTGGAATTTTAAATTTAAAAAAAGGAATGCAAAAGGTATTGTGCAGTTTCACTTTTTTCCTTATGTTTTGTTCTCCTTTTTGGGGGGAGGAAAGAATTCCTTTTGTTCTTTTCGCTTTAAAATAATAAAAAAGTGTCTCTTTGCTGCTTCTGACTCTGTGTATTGTTAATGGGTGTGTATTAAGGAACTTTCTGCCAAATGCAGTGTCAGCATTAATAAACATTTTATGTTTATTACAGAAAGTAACATGTGAATGCACTGGCAATACTGAAAGTGGAAAGAGTATTGATAAATGTAAAATCATGAAACTCTTCTAAGTGTATAAAGAGCATGAATTACATTTGGTAATTTATCTAGTTAACAGCGGAAAGTTAACCTCTTAACTGTCACCCCCCCTTTTTGAACAGACTTGAAAGTGCACTATTCAAACTTAAATTGTTATAATTCATGAACGCTTTTGAATACAGACCTAAGGTTGGTCTCTTTTTAAAGAAGACAATCAGCAGATTATTGCAGAAGTTAAATCTTTTTAAAAAACCAAAGTAAAAAAGTTATAGAAGTTTAAATTAACTGTAAAGAAAATGTACTGCGCTATTTTTATTTTATTTTATATAAAATAAATATTTTACAAAATAGGTTTTAATCCAAATTTGGCATAAAATTAAAGCCATATGTTTAAATAAGTTGTGTTCCAAATTTGAAGGTAATATAAAAAATGTTTAGGTTACTATGCAATTTTATTTAGGTGTTATACCACAAACAGCCACCAGGTGCCATCCAAACCCCATTTAAATTTTTTAATGCATTTTTCTATCACAAATGTATACATTTCTCTCTCAGTATTACTCCTATCACAAAATGTGGACCACCAAATATGGAATTTTTAGACTTTCCGACTATCCATAGGTTCCATGTGACGTCACTGTGTTTTATCGCCGCCATTTTTGTGTCCAGTCACAGCTGCGCTACCTGTTTTAAGTATATGGTTACAGCTGTCAAAGAAAAACGCTTAAAAACACTTAAACATAGTTAACGTCATTTGCCATATAATTAACGTTAGCGGTGACATCATTCAAACATACTATGGGCTTATTTGCATTATGCTAATGTTAACTAAATTAACATTAAATTCAGATTGTGTAGTAAGCTAGCTAACGTTTCTATCATTGACTCAAATGTGTGTGTTTTGAGCTGATGTCGGTTTTAAGTTTACAACGAATCAGGACTTTACATTATTAAATATATTGACACTATGCCAGAGAGATGTGCTGCTGTACTAATTGCTGCAAAAGGTGGACATACCAAATATTAAAGTCAAAGTGGATAAGCACAGTACGACTCACTTCATCTGATATTTATTGTGCTCAGAGCAACCATCTGCATGTTTTATGAACTTTATGAAATGAAATCATGTTTTGGAGGCAAAAAGGTCAATATTTTCAGATCTGTCAGTGGCCACCACTGTATATGCAGTATAGATTAATAAGAACGAAACATGTCAGAGAGAAAAATATGAAAGTTAAATTACCTTGCTCAGGCAGGTCAACATCTTGTTAGTAGGCTTGTGCGCACATTTAATTTTAATAATTTAATTCTATTTTTGTAACTCTGTCTGCTATTAATAAGAAACATGTCAGAGAGAAAAATATGAAAGTTAAATTACCTTGCTCAGGCAGGTCAACATCTTGTTAGTAGGCTTGTGCGCACATTTAATTTTAATAATTTAATTCTATTTTTGTAACTCTGTCTGCTTAGGAAGAAAAAATGACAACCCCCTGAGCCCTGATTATGTACCCAGCATTTTTGCGCACATTTCAGCTGAACAGCATCAGAAAAGCATTTATGCCAACCTTAGGTTTGAGCATACCCAGCAG